CCTTGGGCCACGCCGGCGCTGCTCCCTGGGCCCCCGGCTCTCGGGAAACCGAAGTCGGGGGCTTCAGACCCTGCACCCTACGGATTCGGAGCCCGCGCAGCCCACCTCGTGCCCGATGCCACCCGATCCTCTGCTTCACATGCGCTGGTTAGGGTCAAGAGCGCAGTGGGTCTGGAGACCCCTCAGGGAGGCCGCTGGGCCTCAGTTTACTGCCCTGTAAAGCGGGCTGAGCCCGTGCTGAGAAGCCGAGCGCGGCCCGGGGACTGTCCTGCCCGCCACCAAGCGTCACCTCAGCGCCGTGGCTCAGGCACCCCGGTCTCCGGTCTGCTGCCCCGGGCACACCCTGACCCACATACCGTCACCCACGCTGGGCTGAGCCAGCTCCCGGGTGGGGTCCTGGGCGAGGAGAGGGAGGCGACAGACCGGCATCTCCCTTGTCCCTGGTGCACCGGGCACGGGTGACTGCTGGGCTGGGAAGCCGACACCCCAGGTTTGAGTCCCTCCCCCAGGTGTGGCTTGGCCTCTGCTGCCTTGTTTTATTCCTCTGTGAAATGGGCTGAACCCTATGGGGGAGATCAGAAGAGACTGGGAGGTGGCGGCCCTGGGAGTGCAGATGTGATGGTTCTAATATCAACTGTTGTCGGTGTGCGTGGGGTGGGTCAGGGCAGACTGGAAGCCAGAGGCTGACAGGGCGGAGCCTAAGGCCCGGGCAGAGCCGGGTACTCGTTCAGGGATCTATAGGTGTCTACAAATGCTGTGACAGAGGATGGGTGCTCAGATGCCCATTCAGTAGCTGAGTCACTGGGGACCATGGGTGCATGCCTCAGTTTCCCCACTGGGTGCCAGCTGAGAGGAGACACTACCGGCAGACACCAGTGTGAGGACCAAGCCAGATTGTAAGTGGCCACAGCCCCGGTGGCTGGGCCCAGAGGGGGCCAGGACAGAGGTGTCCCTGAAACAGCAAGGCACCCAGGGAGGCCAGTGGCCCAGGGCCCTGGAAGTCCAAAGCGGCCTGTCCGGGGTGGTCTGAGGTCAGCCAGAGAAGGGTCAGGGGCTCCAGAGGCCTGGGCAGCCCTGACCTGATTCCCAGATTCGGCTTTCTGCCCTGTTCTGTCCCTGCCCTGTTTGGTCAGCTCCTGAGCCCCAGGTCCTGGGAAGAGAGCCGGGAAGCAGCGCGAGAGGCAGCTCGGGACAGCAGCCGCCCCTGTGTGACCTTGGGCAAGGTGCTGTCGTCTCTGGGCTTGGGGCACTGCCAGGCTGGAGCTCTGGGTTCCCACAGAGCTGGCCTCACCTTCAGCGGCAGAAGCGAAGGCTTTGGGATGCCAGATGCTTTTAGGGGTCGGCGGGGGGTAACTTCTCCAATCAGAGTGGGGGGGGGTTAGATGAAGGAAATCTCTTTGTGTTTAATACCAATCCCTTTGTCTCGATGCCAGTGCTGTCATAGTTCTGAATCTCATCTTCATTCAGGGCCTCCTTGGGCCACAGAGCTCCTCCCGCCTGACCTCAGTCGCCATGAAGAGGTGGCCCTGGGCCACCCTGGCGACCTGTGGGATGCTGGGGCCAGACCAGCCGGGTTATGGACGCTGCGGTCGCCAAACTCTCTTATTATTGGCTCAGTAATAACAGTCCCAGCCTGGCACCCCAGGTCAGGTGCCTCAGTTTACCCGCCCATGTGGCCTCTCGTGTTTCCGGGAGGCCCCAGGGGAGCCGGCTGGGGCAGGAGGCAAGGTTGCAGTTGGGTGTAGGCGGGGCGGGGTGAGCTTCCTGTCCCCCGCACACCCAGGCCTCCCCTTGGGCTGAAGGAAGTGGCAGGGCCTGGCGGCGCCGTCCTGCTGCCTCCCCGTCCCACGGGGTTCCCGGCTCCCCTGTGCCCATCTGGTGAGTCTGAACCTCAGCAGGGGACCCTCACATCCCCAAGCAGGAGCAGGAAGGAGGCCCCTGCCCAGGCTGGCTTGGGGACCGGTAGCAGGTGTCACTTCCTGGGCCGGGCCGCGGCAGTGGTGGCTCCTGGTGGCGGTGAGATCGGGAGGCAGAGCCGAGGCCTGGAGGCCCTAGGGCCCCTCGTGGCCACAGCCAGGCCAGTCGTCAGCCCGGAGGCTGCTGGAGGCCTCTGTGCCTCAGTGTCCCCGTCTGTTAAGCGGGGGCGGGACAGGTAGGGTGAGGGGCACGCACGTCCACAGCAGGAACGGCACCCAAAGGTCCTGCACTCCACAGGGTGGGGAGGCCACAGCCACCTAAACGGAGCCCCAAGACCGCTGAGATGGAGGGTTTCTGGGAAACCTCACACCGGGCAGGACTTCCTGCAGCCACCAACCCCAGGGGCCACCGAGCCTGAGGCAGACTGTGGCACGGGGAGGCGGGGATGCGGGAGTGCATCTCTCCTTTAGTATGAAATTCAGTGGCCATGTGGGGCCAATGGGTCCTAAGGGATCTGGAGAGAACAGTGACCCACCCCATGGCCAAGAGAAGAAATGATGGGGAACTGGGGGCTTTTCCTCCCCCAGGACAGGGCGCTGTGCCAGGCTTTGTTTCCCCAGGGACGACACTGAGAGCCCAAGTTTCTCAGGGCTGAAGCATCACCCAGCCCTAGGTGGTACTTGAGTCCATTTGTGAAACCCTAATTATTTGCCTAACAAACTCCTCTTTATGCGTTAAAGCCCCCACTGCCAAGCCCCCTCCTGCAATCCAGGCTTCCACAGTCTTTGTCCCTCCATCTGGCCTAAGTCTAACTCTGGCTTCCTACACAGGGGATTCCTAGGGGCACAAGGTCCTCCTCAGTCCCTCCCCCAGGGCCCAGAGATCTTCCTGTCCTGTGGTCGCCCCGGTCCCTGTCCCTGCCACCACCGAGCCCCCGGACTCCCAGCTGCTGCAGCGCCGCCCTCTGTGCTGTGAATTATGGATGAGCCCGCGGGCTCTGGTGACGGTGACAAGCTAGCCTGGAGACTGTGCCGGGATGCCCAGCCCCTCCCCCACTGTGGGTCCTGTGCAGCGGGATGCAGGGTCCCCCGGTGAGACCCCTGCTAGGTATTCTGTCTTGTTTCACAGATGGGGAAACTGAGGCACAGAGCTGGACAGTGACCCACACTGGGTGAGCAGTGGCTTCCTGGGCAGAGCTGCATGTAAGGGGTTCAGAAGGCCCAAGGGGTGTTTGGGGACACGCAGAGACCCTGGGCTCACCTCTCACCAGATGCCTTCTCCCACAGGAGCTGCCAGCAGGGAGCGCAGAGCTCAGGCTTCACCCAGCTGGTTCAGGAGCAGGTCCATTGTTACTCCTGGCTGTAACCTTGGCAAGTAGCTCCCTCCTTGCAGGTGACTCATCTTTACTACCTGTAAAATGGCCCAGAGTTTCTCCCCCCTTGCTGGGCTTATCAATCATCTATCCTTGCCTGTGAACTCTTACACAGCCTTAAAAACCCTACCTTCCACGCCCTTCCTCCAATCCAGACCCCCACACATCCCCATTCCTCCACTACTGCATTCTGACCCCATGAGACTTGGGTCATCTGCTCTCCCAGACTGGGGGTGACAGGACCACGGGTGAATCCTCTCCAAGGCCCTGGCATGCTCCCAACCCTGGGGCTTTTGCTTCCTCTTTCCTCCTCCCTTTCTGTCCTCCTCAGGGAGGAGAGCTGGAATTTCCCCTCCTGAGCCCTGCACCACTTATGACTCAAGCTCAAACTTGCCTTTCTTTTCAGATAGGTCCTGGGCGGGGTCTTCACAAGGGCCATCAGGATGTCCTATTTTGGAGAGCACTTTTGGGTAAGACCTATTCTTATTTTGGTGGGGGTTCTGGATAGAGACTTTTATGGAGATGGGGAGGCTGTGTCATGTGCACAGAGCCTTGGGCAGGTAGAGGGTCTGCAGGTTGTAGAAGTTAAAGTGGGAAGAGGGGCTGGATTGGAATCCACACCTCAGCCCTCACAGGCTTTGTACCTTGGGCAAGTGATTCACAGCTTAACCCCGGAGAAACTGAGGCCCAGCATGGGACTCTTGTGACCCGAAAACTGCCCGGTGATGAAGTGCAGGCAGGACTCGAACCCGGGGCCAGGCTGAACTCCCAGGAGTCCCACGTCCTTCTGCCCTGGAGAGCTGGGGTTCTTCCCTGACCCGCGGCCTGCGCCCTTCATCCGGGCTGGGGCTGGGGGCTGGGACCTGAGTGCGACCCAGGGCAGCTCGTGCTGTGCTTTCACTCAGTCTTTCATTCATCCCCTCCCTCCGGCCACAGCCCCAGCCCCCAGGGAGGAGATCCAGTCTGGGGGACACAGCCATCTCTACCCCCAGCCCTTCATGGGACCCCGGGACAGCCTGGACCCTGAGCTGTGCTTGCTGTGGGCTGTGGGGGCCGGGTGAGGAGAGGGATTCCAGGCAGAGGTGTGACACTGGGGACAAGTTCAGGGAGCAAGGGCTCTTCTCCAGGGCCAGGCTGGTGGGAGCAGGACAGCACCCAGGAGAGGCCCCCTCCCCGCTTGCAAGGTCCTGAGCTTTTGAGAAGCCCGTTGCTAGGTAACCGGTTGCCCCAGCAACAAGTCCCGCCTCTTCTTCGCTCTTCCTCCCTCCCCAGCCCGGGCTCCCCTTACTGGCTTGGCTTTCTTAAAGGGGCCGTACGCCTTGCCGCCTGCAGGGATCTGCCCTCTAGCCGCTCCCTAAGGGTCGGACTCCCCACTTTGGCCTGAGTGAGTGGCTGTGTGACCGCACCGAGGGTCTGTCCCTCTCTGAGCCCGGACAGCACCTGTGTAAGGGGCTTGACCACTGCAGGAGAGAAGACGCCCACGTGGAACTCTGACAGCAGCGCCTACGTTTATTTTCAATGTCTTTTCATAGCACGAGGCACCTACCCGTATTTTCAGTTCTTTTTTATGGCACGAGGCGCTCGGCTCACTGCAGCAGAGGCCGATTAGCAGAGGAAAATAGAAACCACCCCCCAGCCCCACCCAAAGATAGCCCTGCTGGGCGGCTGAGCGCCAGGATCAGAATGCAAATCGGGCTCTGCTGGGAGCCCGAGGACCAGAGACGCTGCCTCTCTGAGCCTTGGTTTCCCCTTGTGGGAAGGGAATGAAATTCCCGTCTTCCCGACTTAGGGAGGCCGAGACTCAGTCCGTGACAGAAACATGGATGATGCGATGCTTCGTGTTGGCCTTGGTCCCTTGCCCCGGAGCCCCGCATAAGCCTGGCTCTCACCTGGGTGACAATGCGGCCCTGGGTGCCCACGGAGACTTCATCGGGTGACAAACCAGAGAAGACGCCCAGGCCCTGGGAGCCAGGGCAGAGCAGGCACTAGGGAGCCATGGAGGGAGTGTGACAGGAGAGGGGCCGCCTGGAGACCGCCCAGCCCCTAGGCTGTCAGCCCACCCTGAGGGACGCCAGCTGGGTTTGCCGAGTCCTGGAAGCAGGCCAGTGTTGGCAGCTAGTCAGCCCCACGTGCAGCCCGGGCAGCGGTGCCTGGTGCAGCCTCCCCCTGGGTCCTCGGCAGCCAGGCAGGGAGCCCTGTTGGAGCTGGTGCTGGAGCAAGGGCTGCGACCTGAAGCCAGAGCTCTGCCAGCCCCGTGTCACCAAGACCCTGGGGAGCTAGGACCCTCGTCTCCCCATTGGCCAGAGGAGAGAACTGAGGCCCAGAGAGGGGACATCACCAACCCAAAGTGGACGGACACAGATGGGGTCACTGGTCTCATTCCAGACTGGGCTCTGCTGGGTCGTGAGCGACTCAGACCTGGACCCTGGCCTGGCTCTCACATGGGACAGAAAGCAGCGACAGTGATTTAAATGGCAGGGCTGTACTGGCGTACAGCAGTGAAGAGCGGTGGGCAATGTGGTTTGCAGGTTTGGTTTGATCCAGCAACTTCACTAAACACATGTGCTATTTGACTGTTTCCAGCTTGGCATGATTCCAAAGCTTAGGGTTCCCACTTTGCTCCTAACATCTTCACATTTATGAAAAGATAGAAAAATGGAGGGAAAGAGAGAAAGACAGACACAAAATTAAATGAGAGTGTTCTCCCAACCATGGGACAAAATTCTCAGGCTTTTCACTGATTAGACCAGTTCAAGGCCCATGACCAAGGAGAAATGCCGCAAAGCTGAGCAGCTCACTCCCGACCGCCAACAGAGGGCTTCTGCAAATTGACTCTTTTGCCTGGCCCTTGTTGCTAGGTGACAGAGAGGCCCTCTCCCCCTACCCCCAATCTCCACATCCCTGCAGGGTGAGAAGAACCATGGCTTTGAGGTCCTGTACCACAGCGTGAAGCAGGGACCCAACTCCACCAAGGAGCTGGCCGACTTCATCCGTGAGAGGTGAGGACCCCACTGATCCACCCACTTGCGGCCCCGCCCACAGCCCGCGGCCACGCCCTTCTCGGCCACGCCCCACCCCTCTGGGCATGCGCACTCTTGTCCTGTCCCACGCCCCCGTAGGGGCGAATTTGTAAACCCGACTGGTCATGCTGATCGATGAAAACTCATATGAAGAAATCATCTGCGTGTCGGAGCATCCCTGGGAGACACCACGGACGACGGGAGGCAGCCGTTGCTCCCGCGGGCATGGCTTCCAACCGGCCACATTCCTGCCCCACCAAAACTGAATTTAGCTAGGCATTTAGCAGTGTTTCTCTGTAATTAAATGAGATAAACCATGCAAAGGATTTCACGCCGTGCCTACACTATCATAAGTGCTCAAAAAGCCTGTTTACCTATTGTTGCTACAAATTCCACTGGTTTTTTTTTAAAAAAAAAACAGCGAAATACATAAGGGGGGAAAAAAACTCCCCCAAATTTCCACATCGCTCTCCCTGGAGAGGCGCTGCTCAGATATCCGAGATGGGGAAACTGAGGCCCACAGCAGGAAGGTGACCTTCTCCATCCTGTCACCCAGGGCCACCATCGAGGAGGCCTACTCGAAGGCGATGGCCAAGCTTTCCAAGCTGGCCAGCAACGGGACCCCCATGGGGTGAGTGAGGTGGGGCGTCCTTGGCACGGGCCAAGTCCCTGTGGCCGCTGCGCTTCAAGGCGGGGTGCTGTGGAGGGGCCGGGGCAGAGGCAGCGGGAGGGGCGACCCCGCCTGGGAGTGACCCGCCTGTCCCAGGACCTTCGCCCCGCTCTGGGAGGTCTTCCGCGTGTCCTCTGACAAGCTGGCCCTGTGCCACCTGGAGCTGACGCGCAAGCTGCAGGACCTCATCAAGGACGTGCTCCGCTACGGGGAGGAGCAGCTCAGGATCCACAAGAAGGTGCGTGTTTGGGGGCTCCCGGGACCTGGTGGAGCCGCTGGGAATTGTACCCATGCGCGGAACACAGACTGAGCGGGCTTGGGCCGAATTCCGAGTGGGGGGGCGAGATGCAGCTCACGGGTAGCGCGTGGGCAGGATGCCCACCCGCCACCTCCTGTGCACAAAAGGCGGGAATCTTCTGGAGGCGGGGTTAGCCAGCTGGTCCGAAGACTGGTTTTTACATTTGTATTTGTTTTGCTTTCTTGGTTTTTACTTTTTTTTTTTTTTTTTTTTTTTTTTTTTTTTTTTTGGTACCTGGGATTGAACTCGAGGATCAAACTTGGGTCCTTTCGCTAAGCTAAATCCCCATTTTAAAAGGCTAGCAAAAAAAATCGAAAGAAGATAGCCATTTGGTGACATTCAAGAGCTGTGTGACAGCATGCTCAGGCTTCAGTGGGGAATAATAAAGTTTTATTGACACACAGCCGCGTTCACGCCTGTGCCTCGTACCTGTGAGGTTTCTGAGCCACAGCGCAGGGTCCAATGTCCCTGCTGAGTGGAACACGTTTTACTTTCTGTCCCTCTCTACAGAAAGCAGTCGCTGGCCCCGGTCTGTGAGCACCGATGTCAGTATTTCGCATTTCTAGACGCTCACAAACCTAGAATCTCAGATCTTTGGAGCCCTGGACTCAGGATCCCACCCATTTGAGGCTTAATAATAGGAGACTCTGAGATGTGCATTTCTCCGTTGATGGTGCTTTGACATAGGAGTTTTCAGCTTTACAGTGATGCAAAAGCCTTCTTTCTGCGTTTAGTAGAAACTGAAGGCAGAATTGCGAATTGGCAATGGGTGGTCTCATCCTGTGCCTAGGCTAGGTGGGTCAGCGAGTTTTCCATCTGCGGTATCTTCACCTTTGGATGATTTGTTGGACCATAACCCTCTGGCCAAAGAGCATCGGTACAGGGTTCTAGAATATTCTTTTTCTCCACTATTGGAGATTGAAGACAAGGGTGCTCTACCACGGAACTACATCCCCAGCCTTTTTGTTTGCTTGTTTATGGGTCAGCCCTTTTATTTTGAGACATAATCTCACTAACGTGCGTGCTCAGGCTGTGCTCCAATTTGAGATCCTCCTGCTTCAGGCTCTCTAAGTACTAGGATTACAGGTGTGAGCTACCATATCCAGCTGAACCTACGTGGGGTGTTTCTTTTGTTTTTGTTTTTTTGCCCTTGTGAAATTTTATGTATGGAACCCAAGCCTCGCACATGCTCAGCAAGCGCTCTACCTCTGAGCTGCACCCCCAGCCCCCTAAATACTTTAAAATTAATAAAATGCTCAGAAAATAGCCGTGGCCCTGGAAGGCACAGAGCACCTGGGACACCCAGAAGGTCACCCTGGGCCCCCGCGCACATGGCACCCACAAGCCCTCTCTGCCTGCAGTGCAAGGAGGAAGTGGGGAGCACCCTGGATGCGGTGCAGCTGCTCGCCGGGGTCACCCATCTGCTGCCCAAGTCTCGCGAGAACTACCTGAGCCGCTGCGTGGATCTGGAGCGCCTGCGCAGAGAGAACACCAGCCAGAAGGAGGTGGACAAGGTCTGCTCTGGCCCAGGGGTGGGAGGGCTGCTGCCGGTGGCAGCGTCACCCAGCGAGGCCACCCACGCGTCCACTGCTGATGACCAGGGTCGCCCTGTCCCCTCCCTGTGCCTCCTAGGCGGAAAGCAAAGCCAAGAAGGCAGCCGAGAGTCTGCGGCACTCCGTGGAGAAGTACAACTCTGCCCGGGCAGACTTCGAGCAGAAAATGCTGGACTCCGCACTGGTGAGGACCGGGGACCGACTGGCCCGGCCCACGCTGCTGCGAGCCCCAAAGTCCAGAGCCTCCAATGCCCAGCCCCAACCCGCAGACCTCAGGCTGCAAGCCCTCCGCACAGTACAGGCCGCCAGACCCCCTGTCGGGTGGGATTGGGAACATTCTGTGAGCCGTTCTGGCGAAGCTCTCTGGCTGAGGGCCAGGTGCAGGGAAACCGCTCCATGTGCTGCCGTTTCTCTGTTATTAAGGATTTTGAACAAGGCAGGACAGAGCCAAGAGGCCGCCCAGAGGCCTGAGTTTCCATCTGGCCTCCACCCCTCACCAGCGACGTGACCGTTGGCAGGGGACTGCATCTTTGAGTGTCTGTCCACCCACGTGTGCAAAATCAGATTTTCTTTTTAAGTTGCAAGTGATAGAAGCCTTTATCTAAACTGACAGATTTATAGGCTCAGGGAACTGCAAAGTTATTTAGGGGCCGGGGAAGTTTCAGGCATGGCTGGATCCAGGTGCTGAAATGGTGTGGGCAGGAAGTTGTGTCTCTCTGCTTGTCTAATGAATTTTCCTCCCTGGGGACCTTCACTCCTGCTTGCCACCAGATGTATGCGTGTGCATACACGTGGAGGCGGAGTGGTCACCAGCGGCCTGCATTTCCATCCCAACAACCTCCAGCCTCAGGAATCAAAGCGTCTCTTTTCCCAGGCTTCCAGCCAAAGTCCTAGGGCAGAATCTCATTGGCTGTCCCCCAAATCAATCGCTGCAGCTAGGGACCTGGGCTTTCTGATTGGTCAGGCTGGGTCCCATGGCCCTCCTCCCCCCTCACAGCGCTTCCAAGCCATGGAGGAGACCCACCTGCGGCACATGAAGGCCCTGCTGGGCTCCTACGCGCACTCAGTGGAAGACACTCACGTGCAGATCGGGCAGGTGAGGCCAGCTGGGGGGGCGGCACGCAGCTGGAGGCGGGGCCGGGACCTTAGGTGACCCCCCCACTTCCGCAGGTGCATGAGGAGTTCAAACAGAACATCGAGAACGTCAGTGTAGACCAGCTGCTCAGGAAGTTCGCGGAGAGCAAAGGCACCGGCCGGGAGAAGCCAGGTGAGCCGGGCAGCGGGAGCTCAGCAGGGGTGTGTGAGGCCCGGCTTCCAGAGCCACGGCAGGGTTCGCACCTGATCCCGCGGGACCCCGGGGCCCCCGGAGCCAAGACCAGCTTGAAGACGCTGAGAGGCAGGAGCTGAAAGGAAGGGCGGCAAAGCTCTGAGAGTTAGACCCGCATGTGGGCCCTTTCTTCATGGCTCGCTGTGTGACCCCTGGTGTTTTTCTTGACTTCTCGGAGCTTCCGTTCTAAAGAGGGGGAGAGGCAGGCCAGGGCCACGCAGCAGGCCGCCTCCCTGTCCGAGCCGGGCTGCAGGCAGGAGTGCTGCG